CCACTTGTCTTTTCCCACTCCTTTTTCTTTTGTGCCCCCCATCCAATCCAATCGTTAATCGTTGTCATTCATCATCAAAATCATGATCATCATATCAAATGTACAAAAATAATACGTCGCTCCTGATACATCGCGAGTCAACTCCCTGGTCTTCTCCGCAATCCTTTCCAGAATTCCTAACCGGACCAGTTCATCCTACTTCTTCCAGTTCCATTCCGAATCGGGCCATCCGATCCCAACCCCCAGCCCACAGTATCTGCCAAAATCGATTTGCCGACGATCCGGGAAATAATCCCTAGCATCTACCGGTAGAACCATTGCTCAGGGTTTTCAATGTTCCAGAAAATCGTCCAAAAATACACAGGCTAACCGGGCCGCATCCGTGTAAGATGATTCGTTGACTTTCAGAGACAACGACGATGGGTCATCTCGCAGAATCTTCGAGACCTTAACTCTACATGACCGAACTTGAGGTTCTGTTCGATTGAAGCAACGTTAGTCTCAGGGTTGATCACCACTTTCGTACAATAATTTCCAATAATCAAACTCGGTCGGTGGCGAGCGGACACAGAAAGAAACGGTGAAGAGAGGAGAGGCCAGCAGAAAGACGGAGAAACATACCATGATCCCGAACCACACCTTTCACGTCGTGTACAAAGCCGGCAATCCTTTCATCGATAACTTTGCCACGCCATGCACCATCACCGTCACGGATTGGATTGAAGCTCTCCTTACCCCCTTTCCGTGTCTTGAACTTGGAATGGAGAATTTCTTTGCATCTCTCGAACAAGTTCGTCTGAGTTACTTTTACTCTTTCTTGGAAATCATGACGCTCAATGATTGCTTCTTTGCCACCATGTTTAATTCTGGATTCGGCACTACAGTTACGAATCAGCATCGGATCCTAAGACTACGGGATTAAGGAGAAGTACGCACTTGCAATATGAAAGACCTAACGTCTTGTCCATGACGAGAGTCAAGACGAGTAAGACGCTGAATCCAATGGCCCATTTTCGTTCATTTGTAGTCGCGCGATTGCTAGTCCACATCATTTGACCCCATTCCCTGAGGACTTCTTTGATTCTTTCCTGTTGAGATATGAAAAACGCTACTTTGATCTGGCGGGAAGCACATCTTGGAGAAGATTCTGGTGGGAAATCTTCTCTCAGGCGCCCCTCTACCAAATTTGTAGACTCGCCGTCGAGGATCAAGCTTCGTTCAAGTATGGCGCAAGCAATGTGTATTTCTAAGGCCTCGCGGAGGAGTTCATACTGTGGCTGTCAGCTATCAGGACCATTACAATAAACGTTGGGATTATCAATTTTGACAGAAATTAACTCCGGTAGTGCAAGATCAAGAGAGTACACCCCCAAGACCGGACAAATTTGCAGCAAGAAGACTACCGTCTGAAAGAGAAATGCCTTACCTCATCATTGGCTTCCACACCAGCAATATAAAACCGGCATACTGTCTTGAGCAAACGTTTCGCAATATCTGATTCCTCAGGTTCATACGCTATCCTTGCATATTCATCTAGATCATGTTGAACAATCCTCTTAATATATCGAGCATATTCTTCCTGTGTCTCCTCCATCAACATAAGCGGAATGCCAAGTGGTGGACTCTTCTTTTTCGTGTATGTCGGTCTACCTGATGCGTTGAGATACGTCTGATGTTGATATCGAAAAATCGAAGTCGAGCCTCGTACTGATAGAGAGACTACGGTAACTTTTAGCGGAACGCGGTAGCCCCAGCTCAATCGCACTATCATCTCATCTGTTCCCCATGCTTCTGCGTTTCTCGAGATGAATTTCTTGGTGTTCTCAGTTGTGTACAATCTTATGTGACTTTCTATAAATTTGTTAGAATGAGCACACCACCAAAGCTACCGTAGAGAGCATACCGGGTACTAAGAACTTATCTAGCATTTCGACTGGATCATTGAAACATGGTAAGAGGCAAAATCTTCTCTTTCCAGAAAGCCTGGTACACTGTTCGCAAGGAAAGCCAGGTGAACATGGTGAGCACTAGACAAAAAGCAATTAGCAAAATATCTCTTTGTGTGATAGTTGTACCCTCGTGCGCACCTTAATCTTAGAGAGATGGCAAGCCCAGCAAGCGCCCGCTTGCCTTACATCTCTCGCCTCCCGCTTCTCTTTTTCTGTTAGCGGCCTTACACGGCCTCTCGTAACCTTGTTCTTTTGCGGCTCAGTAAACGCGCTAAAAACATGCGAATGATGGGTCGGGTCGTCTGGTGAAAGTGGTGGTTGCGAGCCGGGTGGGTGTGGAGAGTGGTGTGATACTGGGGAGCCATGGGAAGGAGTATACAAAGTGTTGGAATAAGAGGTTGATGTATCACTTTCGTCAAACCAATTATGTCTTGGTGCTTCTGGCCCATACACATCGTGGCTTGGTTGGCCATGTGCAGTTACAATTAATCTGTCGCTACCCACAGGTGATGATGTTTCATAGGATAAAGGAGATCGCTCGTGTTCGTAGGAATTTAACGGCGCTGGCTCGGGCTCATATGCGACGCAGTTGGTGTTAGGATTTTCGTTGAAGACATTGCCATTTGCATCGTGCGAATTCCAGGGATTTTGTGAACGTATGTATCTGTCTCTCGGAAGTAGGTTTGGAGCTTCAAGTAGTGGGGCTACTGAAGGAGCTATAGGCTCTGTTGGGAACATGTTAAACCCCCAATCTAGGGAAGTAGATGTATTATCGAAGGAAAATGTGGAAGTAGCAGGTAATGAGGTATTCATATTTTGGGCGCGTTGGATCGCTTGATCGACCATCATGTTTTGGTTTACATAATCTGTTGTAGTGTCGTCAGCAAAGCAGTTGACCTCGGATTGAGACAAGATAAAAACGTCCGGACACGATATCCCAGAACGGGCACATGTGAGATAGACAAGATCGGCAAGCAAAATCATTACATACAAGGAATCTCAAGATCAAGTAATGGACTCGACCCTCCCGGGGATCCAAACGGGAAAACATATGTGTCGGATGTGGCCGAGACGGCAGAAGCAGAAGCCAGTTCCATACTTCCATGACTCCCATAGCTTCCCACATTAGCCTCTGACATACAAATGTCTTCAAAATCCGAGGGTCCAGTTAGGTGTGTAGTAGAATTCACGATATCCCATGGCATGGAAAGTCCAGGCATAGCTCCGGTCTGGAGCGATAATGAAGCACCGCCATTGGTTCCGATGTATGTCGAGTATCCGGGACTCACAGCATCATCGGGGCTAATTGGGATGGTATTCAGAGGCCCTGTAGAGAAATTGGCCAGCCATGATGCATCCGGAAGTGAGGTGTGAGGCGCCGTCAAATTCAAAGTTCCATCTCCAGCAGTCGTAACACCAGCGACATGTCCAATGATTGATGACGACGAAGGAGAGGTATTGATCGCGGCCTGGTACTCAAAATAGTCAAAGTTGGGCGCCGGCGAGAACCTGTCTAACCTGTCTAGGCGGGTATCTAGACGGATATGGTAACTTGGATTATGTCGCAAGGACGAGCTCCTAGATCGCGACGAGAGCGACGACGATGGTGAATGTGAGTGTGAGTGTGATGATGCAGGCGGTGAGGCACTGGGACTGTAATAATGGCGCTGAGTATGCGACGATTGCTGTTGCGGCCTCTTTCGAACCCTTTGTGGTGAGATCGGATTCGGCCACTCGGCCCGAGCCCTCTGAGAAGTGGGCTTTTCAATCATGACCTATGTGTAGTAGGTATTTTGTCGGTATTCTTTTCCTCTTGTTCGTTTATTCAAATTCTGTGCGGTACGTGCGTGCTTATCCAGGACCTTTTTCGAAATGTAAATGAAATGTTAATATCAGAAGCATTGCGGTGAAGCTGTTCGAGCCAGAGTCATCCTTGGATTCGTGGACCGTGCCAGTATGTATGTAGGTATGTATGTGTGTGTGTATGTATGTATGTATGGAAAGATGGATAGATGAATAGAGATTACAAGAACGAGGGGAGGGATGGAAGGAAGGATCCGATCGAAGATCTTTTGTCGAGGCTATCTATTTCCACAAACGATAACCTATTCTTTGATACTGGATGAAATATGAGAAAAGCGGTGCAAAATGCAGAAAAGGGAAGAAAAAAACCCTTTTTATTAAAAGCTTTGGCTTGTTTCGGGGTAGCAAAGGGCACTATAGATACGGGATGTAGTGGACTGGTGGTGGAATGGATGATGAATGAATGAATGATTGCTGATTGATGGATGGATGATTGACCTGGGGTGTATATGGTCTGTTCTGTCTGCACTGCACTATCTGCATTATGCGGAGATGACCAAGACCATGACCATGACCATAACCGGGACTCGTGGGGACACGGGAAACACTTGGTTGTACATATGTAATATAAACAACCACCCACCTACCTACCCACCCGCCCACACACACATACATACATAGATACACAAAACGTTCTTCAAGAACCGGGTGGGATGGACAATGTGGAATGCTGCAATCTTGATTTGTGTATCACGATGTTAGGCGGTTTTAAGTAAGTTGAGGAGATTAGATAAGTTGCTAACGAAAGGTCGACAGTATTCTGGGCTCTGGAGAGAGGTATTGTTCCTTCCAAGAGATAAGCGATATATGATGGGTTGAACTTGAAAATCGTGCGGTGTTTGTTTGTCCATCTCGCATCTAGGTGTTGCAAACAAGCAAATGGGATGGAAGCGATACAGAGCCCCAAAAATTGAGGGGTGGGAAAAGAAGAAAAGATGTGTTTGTAAAGTTGTAACCCTATAATATTTATGATTTATTATGATTTCCATCCCTTCATTGGTGAAAATAAATGGGAAAAGCTCTCTCGATTGCCAAATCTAGCTCACCGAGTAGAACTTATCACGCTTCTTGCTGCAATGTAACGCCGAGTATGCAGTTAAAATATGCACTTCTACTGAACCGGTTGAATTTTTCGCTTCTCTCGTTGGTTCTTCCAAATTTCCCTATCGCCTGCAGCGCTTTCGTGGGCTTCTCTCGACATATAAAATATATGGAAAATGGGTATTTATACCAAAAATAAATTTATCGCTTCAGGTATGTCTGTCTATCTTTCCAATGGCCCCATCAGCGACCTTTCGATACTTCTTCTATGGAGTGCTCGTCGTATCTAGATACCCTCATATACCCTTCCTCACTCAGCCTAATGATTCGCCCGTAATCACGTGTTTGGGATTAGCATCATGTAGGTGCCAGGATTCATATCAGAACCATCAGGATAAAAGTACCGATTTTGATTACGCCCCAAGTGAAGTGTTTCGAGAGTTTATATCAAGATGCACTTGTATTGTAGGATAAAATGGAAGGATAAATGTAAATGGCGCCATCTGATCATATCACGTCACAACCAAAATCAGAAAATATGTCTCTCAATGTCATCATCAGCTATTTCTCGTTTTCGCCCTTCATCACCCTTCACGCTTTCCCCAGATCCGCCCCAATCATCTTACACAAATCAGAAACTGCCCCAAGTGGAGATAAATGCCCCAGATTATCGACCAGGATACTAGGATTCTTGTTGAGCCTCATGCATCTCATTCTTAAGCTTATTGTATGCTTGAAATATCGAGATTGCCTAATAATTTTGTGACAAGCGAGAAGGCTCGACTCTTGGTCCTTGGCCATGGCCCGAACCATTCAGTCCCGAGAGGCGTCTTTGAGTGGGTTCATCTCGGTAAGATTCTTCTTCATCATCGCCTTCCTCGATTAGCCGTCTTGTCTCTGCCCTATTGTCTTCTTCTGGCGCTTCGGTATCACCACTCGTTATGCTGTGAATGGGTCGAGACCAGTACGAGCGTCTCCAGAAGGAGGTGGTAAGCAGATTAATGATAGAAACCACCTGTATTTTGAAGTCAGAAAATGTATAATATCTTTTAATAGCCGCAATAATGCCTTTCGTTCCCAGCGAAATGGTACAATATAACCTGTGCATAAATAACTTTTTATGCATGCTGAAAGTTTTGAGAACATTGGTGAAGCATGTAGAACTTCTTCGCCCCTCGTAACATAAAAGCACGACTGATAGATGAGACTATCGTATCTAGCATACACCCAAGGGGTGGATGTTTTGATACCGTAGAAAGGAAACGTACCTTGATGGTGAAAATGACGATGGCAACAAGTAGAAGTAGGCCAGCATTTATCTGCTCCGCTTGTCTCCAGGGGCCAAAACAGCTTCTGTGGGAGTAATTAGATTGATATCTTGAATATGTCATTATAAGGTAGTGGAGTGATAAACTCACTGTGAGCGGTCCGTCAAAGCCTCGCAACTCCCGGGACCCTTTTGATTCTTGATCGGCGAGGCCATATCAGCCATAGAATGAAGACCGCAACAATTCAACGCATCTTGAATTGCACTTATCTTTCTATCGTCCTTTGCACTGAATAGACTATGCCATGCATCTTCCAGCCCACAGTGTAATGATTTTGGTGGTATCATATATGTCAGGGCGAGAGTAGCAACAATAGTTTCGTAGACCAACTGGAAACCAATAACAGCAATTAGTGGCAGCGTGAGCTGATTTTGTTCCTTCTTATTCGCCCGCTGGATCAATCCAACGGCACCTTGTGTAGATATTCCAGTGACGAGGGGTAGGACGACCGTAAATAGTGCGAGAGCTTGGGAGACAGGAAGGGAAAGGGCGCGAATTTGTGAGTATGCATAGCTAGCGAGTATCAGTCTAAGACCATCGACAATTGTTATTTTGGAGTTTTCTACCCAGCTACAGCAGTCAGAATAACCAGAAGCTATATTGAATCAGTTCTGTCTTGAACATTCAGATTAGTCGTGATGGTGCTCACAAGTGGCCTTGCCCATGGTATCAACTTCTTAGCAACGTCCATGGCGGATATTGTTGACTATCGAGGAGAAGCAAACACAGAAATTCAGCCGGGAGAATCACAAAAGCTGATCGAGAGTGCGCTCGCACAATAAACTGTAATGGCAAAGCTGGAAAGGCTAGAAAAGCAACGGGATAAGATTGATGTTCGAGTTAAAGGGTTGAGTGGTGAGGGAATGCTAGATGGACAAATAAATCGATATATTCTATCGTACAAGGAAAATAAATTCCAGATAGAAATGGAAATGGATATCGAAATCGAGAGCCAAAGAGAACAAAACAAACAAAATGATTACATCAACTGTTTTTGTGTTACCAGAAGATTACTTGATTGATTTTGTTGATATGTTGATAAGGAGGGGTTAGCAGAGTTGTTTGCATTCGATTGGTATAAATCATATCATACATACCAAGGTATGATTGATTGATTGATTGATTGATTGATTATCCTCCCTCTCCCTTCCCTTCCCCTCCCTTCCCCTCTCCCTTCCCCTCTCCCTTCCCCCCTCTCCCCTCCCCCCTCCTCATCTCTCCTTCCTGCCTCCTTCATCTCTCATAGTAAAAGAGGGGAAATCCAAGAATCTCAAAGTTCTAAAGCTCCAAAGCCAATAATTTGCCCCACGACCACCACCACCAAAACCCTAACCACGAAAAGAAGACGCCTTTCTCAATTCTAATGGGTCCACCAGGTCCCTTCCAATAATCAACTGGTATTACTTTGTAGCATTACCATTATCATCACCATTCCCATTCCCATTCCCATTCCCATTCCCATTCCTATTCCGATTCCGATTCCGATTCCGATTCCGATTGTAAACTTCCGCCCGTGTACCCAAATACTTCAGATGCACGCATGTGCGAGAAGTGCATAACCTTCCTTACCTACCAGCCCACCTACATAACATAACAACCTAGGTAATAATCAAGAGTCAACAAGTCAAATTCGTCCACAAAAATAACATCACGTCACATCAAGGAAAAGAACAAAAGAAATCATCATATTCTCCATCCATTTCTTTGCATAATCAAATAATCAAATAATCAAACCCTTTACATCACCGTATCGCATCTCGATACCCTTCAAAAATGGCGCAATCAACTCAATCGCCCGTCGCAGGCCACACCTCTCCGAAAAGTCCTACGTCTCCAGGAAGATCTAGCATACCATCTGCCATGCAGGCGATGCCCGATTCCCGTCAACAAAGCTTCGAAGAAATCTACGGACCTCCCGAAAACTTTCTCGAAATAGAAGTATGCTATCCCATTCCCATTCTATGCTATACAGCACCACACCAGCATCCCAACCCCCACCCCTCTCTCCTCCTCCAACTTCCCACCTGCCCCCTCACAATCAAACAAACCACCAACTCACCCCTCCCCTCTAGGTTCGCGATCCCCAAACCCACGGCATCGGCCGCAGCATGTACACCGACTACGAAATCAACTGCAGCACCAACATTCCCGCCTTCAAGCTGCGCAATTCGACCGTCCGCCGCCGCTACAGCGATTTCGAATACTTCCGCGACCTCTTGGAGCGCGAAAGTGCGCGCGTGACCATCCCCCCTCTACCCGGCAAGGTCTTCACCAACAGATTTAGCGACGATGTGATTGAGCATCGCAGAGAGGGCCTGGAGCGATTCTTGCAGATTGTCGTCGGACATCCGCTCTTGCAGACGGGTAGTAAGGTTTTGGCTGGATTTGTACAGGGTGAGTGGCTCTCGTTTTCGTGACACAATTTGCTATTCTATCTCCGATGCTTCGGATTAGGGAATGGGATCACTTGACAATGAAGGAGCTATGTTAATCTATGAGTGGCAGATCCAAACTGGGATCGAAATGCTTGGTGAAGTCGTTGGGAGAATTTGGAAGTGAAGACTCAAATTGTTCCACGAAAACTCAAGAAACGACGTCCGTATACCATGGGAAAGACGATATCAATGGTACAAACAATGTCCTAAGCTACAATGCAGGAAACCTGAAATATGATAAGATAGCTTATAAAAATGGGAGCATGTTAATTTAGTACTCAAAATGGGGTGAGCGAGGGGGGGAGAGGGGGGGGTTAGCTGTAGTTTTATTTCGATTCTCTCACATATACCAAGGGCGTTTAGCTGGTGGGTGGCTGCATTTGACCACTCTGGGGAAATGGTTGCTTGCGCAATTAACTGCAAGTTCTGTTATATCAGCTATATCAGAATCAAGCACGATAGAAAATGTCTGACATCATAGACCTGTGTTTATTGCCTCTGCAAGATTGCTCTTGTCTATTTGAGTCTTTGGAGCGGAATGTCCACCCTACTATGGCCAATGTATATATATAGATACAACATGCCAATGATCTATCAACCCACATCCGTTTCCACAAAGCGCCATAGATTTCATAATGTACATTGCATGTAACCGATCCTGCCTAGAGTGAGATACCATAAGTCCTGATAGTCGTCATGTGCCACTTTTTTGATACAAACGCCATCGTAAAATCCTATTCATGTGTTGTACATCTACCTCGTTCATCCGTACCTTTCTCAAGGTGAAGCTGGCTTTTCCAGTAGCTTCAATATTCCCTCATACATGCCAAACATGATGGCAGCACTCGGCACTGTTCGTAATAGATGCGGCGTTAAGCCTCCATATAGAGCAGCCATTCCCTCCTCTTTCCAGACGAGGTTAAAGCATTGAACGAGTCCTGTATATTTGGGACGTCCATGATCTAAAGGTGCTTGTCTTAGGCGTGTTCGTAGAACCTACACACATTGTTAGCATATCGTTTAGCAAGAAGTGTAAACTCGAGCTCACCTCATGAGGATAAGTCGCAAGTGCTGCCACAAGTTTTGCAAACCCTGCTGCTCCGAGACTTCCAGTCCATTGTATTGAGTGATCCAAGAAATTCCTGGGTTTCCCACTCAAGGTTATCCTCTCCTCTCTCTTCTCCAAGCTTTTCTTCATCTGTTCATACAAAACCCACTGCAACGTACTTTCGGTAACACCCAAATAACTCGCACTCATTCCCTTATACAAGCCCCGTATTCCCTCTCCCTTTACAACCTGCTTGATACAATCCCAACTGTTCTTGTACTGTCTCTTCCCGACATCCCCTGCTCTCTCGGCCACATTCTTATCCAGTTGCAATCGAGTTTTGATTAACCAGATAGGATTTGTTACCGTACTCGTCGTAATTCCAGCAGCGGCAGCCGCAAGACAAACCACCCAAGCTGATTCCACCCCACCATTATACCCCGCTAATATTCGCTTCCCATTGCCCACGACGAAAAAGTTGATTGACCTCGCAGGAACCACGCCTACAAGATTTGGCCCCAATCCTTTGAAGAGTGCACGATATCCTTCAAGTCTATGTACTGACCCGAGGATCTGAAAAGTTTCACGGAAATGTAAAAGTCCGCTACGTAGTGGCGAGAGATGTGCATGTGGAGAAATCCCCTTGGCCAGACGACTCTGCGCCAGTTGTGCTTGGTAGAAATCGGATTGCAAGCGTGTTTTTAGAACATCGAGAGGTGCTGTGAGAGCTGCGGCTGTCATTCCCCCAACACTATAGTCAGAAATATGTTAGTGTTGGAACTTAAAGCATCGATTGTTAAAATGATGGAGGGGCAAATCTTACCCTCCAGCAACAAAATGCGCCCATGACTTAGCAACTGGGACGGGTTTTGCTGCTACTTTTGATACGTATCCTGATTGTGAAGGTCCTAGATCTCCATTTTCTCTGGACTGTGTCAAATGCAGCTCGTGCAGTGCGCGTTTGCTACGATCCTCTGTGGTGTTCATGAATGTATCTGTGGAGAGAACTTTCCCAGTTCTCTCTTCTCTCTGGCCTGTGGCGGGGTTTATAATTTTTGGGGGCTGATTATATTATGTAAATGGTATCATGTTAAACAGAAAATACGATGGTAGCAAATTAAAAGAAATTGACCAAAGTTTGTTTGATTAAAATAAATGATTTGAAGTCCCTATGGTAGAGTTGATAATTCTATGATGTCTTTGGAAATATTTCTCTAAAGGCGGTGGATAGAAAATCGGCATTAAAATCTCGATTAGATAGGCGGGCTGGCTTCGGCTCGGCTGCATGCAATCTATGCTAATTGTGCATTCTCACTCGATTAGACGTTTTTTCATTCACGGTTCAGAGATAGGTGGATCAAAATTGAAGCAAAAATCCCGAAAGTTGATGTTGAGGAACTATTAGAAGATATTCATACAAAAAGATGCCATACGCCAGTCGTTGAAGATTTAGCCATGCCAGCAGCCCAAATAAGATAAAAGTCCATGTGTCCAATCCGAACCTAGCAACCCCCCTTCCCCCCGCGCGCAGCAACACCCTCTAACAATGCAGCCAAAATTTGTGTTTATCGTGGTTACAGGTCCCTCATTTAATCTTCTTCTTCTTCTCCTTCAAAGTTAGTGACAACTCGAATCGTACTCTCATTGGCATCATCAAACTCGCTGGATCGTCTAGTAGAACGCCTACTTGGTGCTATACTTTTCGTCATACTTTCTCTCCTCGTTTCTTTGCCCTTGAGACTTTTCTCTGGCGAAACGATAGTTAAATTTTTGCTGCTTGAAGAGAGCTTCATCTGCTTCTTTCCATATGTTTTGAGTGAGCCGGCTGTGGCTTGGCTAACGTTGATTGTTTTCTTGCTAGAGCCAACTACATGGCGAGCGTTCGAAAGTTGTGAAGAGACCGTTTTCTTGACTGTTTTTGCAACATTTGTGGTAGCTTTAGATATGGATGATTTGACTCCTGTGGCCGTCTTCGTCTTTCGCTTCTTTTGAACCTGTACGTCTTCGTCGTCTTCGTCATCACCAATCATCTGTTGAAGCTTTCGCTTGCCGGCCTTAAGGCCAGCTTTAACAACGTCTTTAATGGTGGTGGCCTTGATGACTTTTTGGTCCTTTGGTCGAGGTCCCAATACACCGCGACAATTGTCACTGCCACAGCGACACGCTTGAACGTTTTTAGCCGAAAATGGGTCGAAATTGTAGTCATAGGTGAGCTCATCACCAGTCATAATGGGATTATCGCCAGCGAACAGAGCCATTCGCGGCTTGCCCTCCACAATCCACTTCACCATTCTGCAGTTTGGTCTGCAGGAATGGTTAACAAATCTAGCAATGCTACCCCTGGTCGCATCAATGATCATGTTCTGATCAAATGACATTAGGTAATAACACTATTGAATGATAGTTAGCCAAATGAGCTTGTACTGAAAAGTTGAAGGAAGTAAGTATTACATCATTATCTTTATAGTCTTCATTCATACGTCTGTCACATTCGTCTTCAGTGATGATCTCCCCTGTATACTCAACGATAATTTGGTTTGCGTTGAAGCAGCGATTACTTCGAACTCCGTAGCCACGATCAGCTGTTTTGATAACTTCAACGCCAATCTCATACTTGTTGCCACCTTTTCGGAACGAGTTGCCTTTACGACGATTAAAGAGTTCAGCGAATGCACGGTTGGTGCAACTGTCTCGTCCTGCGCCACAATTGGTATCATCGCACTCGTAAAGCATGATTCTATTCTGACAATCTTCATCACAACCTGCATCGGGTTTACAGATACACTTGGAGAAGAAACTATCAAACAAGCTTGACTTCTTCCACATTGAACCAGCTTCTCCAATGAATCGATCTATTAGAAAAATTAGCAAATATATAAGAGCGATTGAATTCATAAAGCTTACTATGAGAAAGTCTTGTACCACTCGGTAGGTTTAGGCTGCCCTGGTGGGAGTGGAGCACAAATGTCAAAAGGCAGTTTAAAATCTCTTCCAACGTGTAGTAATCTTTGGCCATTCCACAAGGGTAAGGGCAGGGCTTTGTTTGGCTTCCCAGTCCACCTAAAAGCCGACTTTGTATTTCCAGAAGATTTGAACCAGTCAAGATTGGCCGGATCCTGTCCCGCGTAGAGCCCCTTCGTCAACCAAGCTTTCTCTTTTCTACCTTGCGCTACTTTCTTTGCTGGGGTCTTGGTAGGCTCCGGCTCGGAGACTTGAGATTGGGCCTCCTCTGCCTTCTTCTTCTTCCTTGCCGACTCCTTTTTCACCAGCTTTCCGTTACTCCAGACTTCCAATACGACGGGCTCTGTTTCGATTTTTGCAAACTCCTTCGTGTCTGCGAGGTTTCTGAGCTCCCGCTTTGCCTTCTGAAGACCTCCTTCCATTTCCTTTCGATCCCTCTTTCCTAGTAAGCTAATCTTCTTCGTGGGCCCATCCGCCTTCTCGCCAGGTGTTGATCGTAAAGACTTTCTTCGAGAAAGATCCTCCTTCTTAGCAGCAGTACTTTTAGGGCTTTTGTGATTGATTTTGCTGGCTGAATTAGGCAATTTCTTGACTGACCAAGACAAGTCCAGAGCATCAATTCCCTCACTGACCAACTTTTGTGCATTCTTTCCTACAGTGCCTGCAGACGCACTTGCCGGACCCAATGCATCAGCCAATTCGCCGCCTGATATAGTTTTTCGCCGTGCTTCATTATCTGGAGCGCTTTTGTCCTTTAAAAATTTCTTGGGGGTGTGTACGGCTGTGCCGGCAAGAATCTTAGCATTGTAGGTTCCGACCTTTGCGCGTGCTCGCTGACTTCGTCTATCTGTGTGTTCGGGTGCAATTGATGCCTCGTCGACAATGGGCTCGGGCTTGCCGGTGGCAGAAGTGACACTAACATTGTCTCCAATGCTTGTTGGAGGTGTAGATGTAGAGGAATTTAAGTTTGAGGTGTCGTCGACAGTGATTGAAGTATCGATTGATTCCGATGAAGGGGCACGCGTTATTTCGTGCTTACTAGAAGAGCGAGACGATGCGCCCATTCTATCCAATAAATTGGAAAACATATTGATCAGATTGTGTCGCGTTATTGTTGTAACATTAATGTATGTTATGGAGAAGACGCGAAAGTTGACGAGTAGGATCCACCAGGCTGTGGCTTGCTCTCTCTGCTCAACAGCGAAAACTGATGAGTAAGAAATGCAAGGTTCTTGGTGATAAAATTATTGACTGAATATTGGAGACATCAAAGAATTATGAGGGTACAATCGCGACGTTGTTGAATATAACGAAGTAAGAGTACGATTTGTGGTGTTGTGGTGGTGGTCAAAAGGTTGTATTGAAGAAGTGGAAGAAGGAGAGAGAGAGAAGAGAGGGGACAAGAGGTATTTTGTGGCTGGGCCTAAATGAAGACCACTCGGAAGTGCCAATTGTATAGGTACAAGGGGCAACATTCCAAAAACAATATAACATAAACTAATCACCTAATGCAAGGGAAGATACTATTATACTAGAGTACCTACTTTATCATCATTACCTAACTTATATTCTAACCGTCTAGAAGTCTTCCTTTCCTTTCAACTACTTTCAATGCTCCGGTCAAGACCTTTTTAGCTGAATGGTTTCTTTGCTGTGAATGATATGGTAGACAAGTCCGTGTGATATTACATTGGCATACACTTCAACACATATTAAACCATTTTCCCGTGTAGCGTCGCATTGTTAATGTCTGCTGTTTCATTGGATTCCATTGAAGTCAGAGTCAGGGACAACCACTTTGATGCTAAATCACTAGCCTTTCACAACATCTTAATGAATCTTCATCTACATCAACTAGATCTAGCAATATGAGAATCTATTCTTCACGTTCCATTTGCCATCGTAGTTTATTAAATAAATGTCCGAGGACTACTATGTGTCTAGGTTGAGTCTCTGGTCGGATTAGCGAGGGCTTCCTGATTGTGGTTTGTGAAGGTAGTCAACACTTAACAATTTCAGGAACACCGACTAATTTCGAGAATTTTAAAGTTGACCATTCCATTGATACTTTTTGAGGCTTTGTATATATGTAATATGATCTTTCTTTTATCACATCGGTCCAAAAGAAGATTTGTATCACAAAATTACTGTGCAAAGTACTACCCATACAACCATGGATACATTGCATTACCACTACCTGCTCAACTTGACCACCCGTATGTTTCCACGGGCAGTATGAAGGATTGTCCTCTTCCGGAAATGTCATTGCGTGGGTATAATGAGTTTTTGCCGTTGTAAATCATTCAGGAGATCTTGGTAGCACTTCTAACACTCCGGAAAGTGGCCCGACCTCGGGATTGCAAAACTTATTCTTGCACCTCTTACTATATCTTAAATCGTTTCAGGATACTTTGTCCAATCTTCCATGAGGTTAAGCCTTGGAGATTTCAAACGTTTGCTTGGAGTTTTGAATCTGTGTTATTGAGATTGCTTGGCATGTTGTTTTGCTAGATGTCAATATGAAACATTTCAAGGCTTTCGATAATCCAGCTGCAAGTCGACAGCAAGGGTGTTCGGAAGTCACGGAGCCATTCATCCATCATGAATACTCTATTCAGATCTTTGAAAGAGTGTATCTGCATTTAGATGTTCTCTTTACCTTTCAAATCTGAACTGCAATCTGAGTCATTGAAAGACTTGAAGTGTCTGAATCGGAATACAAACGCCTACTCTAGGACTAAACTTCCTGCCTAACCCGAAGGGCACTGGAAACTACTATGGCATGACTGTACGAGGAGAAGTTAATGTAGAGCAAAAGGTTTACGTCTGCTGATTTGACGGTCCTATCGGAGCGCGTATCAATGTCCTCCAGAGTGCCACTCGGTGAAGCAATGAGAAAGAAAGTTTTTGAGTCGTAGTAGGCTGGGTCAGTATGGTATCTTAATTGTATTGATATGTGCTTTTTAAGTAAAGCTACTCCTGTCCTTCCTTCTGGACTGATGCATCTGGACGGGTTGGTCTTGTTTTATCGAATGTTCTTCTCGTTTGTGAGGAAAAGATCAGGACCAAAATGAAGCTCTCCCTTCTCTACAGATGTTGAGTAGTATTTCCGTAGTCAGAGCTGGAATACGACTTTGAGAGACTTTAACTATTTCCAAGTAGAATATTCAATATGGCTCGATCTGTTAAATCGATTTCTAACACTCACTTGCCAATTCCCATTTTCGGATACTCCACCATCGAGAAAGTAGAATATCCTTCAACCTCCACCACCAATGCCCTTATTATAAAGCTCTGATCTCTGAGAGAAAGGACCTCAATTATTATGCTTCGTGCGCTTAATCATAACCTCTCTACATCCGTTTTCAATTTTCCACGCCAGAATACTAAGATGTCTGAGGCTCTGCTGTCAGTGTACGTCGACCAGATCACTTGCGAGAATTTTAATTTATCCCGAACATTCACGCCTGTCTTCTCACAACTTGCTAGTAGAATTGTTAGGGCTATTCTCATACTTTGGATTGCTCTGCGCACACAAACCGGAGGCAGTTTTCGTTCATCCCAACCCATCTTTTACACTGAAAGCCTCATTTCACAGCCCTCCGAGAATTGGCAGACGCATATATATTTGACCATATATCAACACGGTTAGGATTAAAGAGATTTTCCCAATGCAACAGAACAAGTAGTAGTATCATAAACCAAGCTCATAAGAGACATGCAAGGAGATTCGACACGTAGCCATGTAGTCACTCGGTAGGTAACTATAGATCCAGTAGGCCGAGTTCATATACGGTATAGATATCACTGGACTTAATTATATGATATAATCTCCACGACCAAGAATCTTTTGGGCAACAGTCATGTAGTCAAGCTACTAGTGTTGAAGTGTGTTGTAACAATTGTATATTATAGTATGATAGTATATTCTGAGCAGCTCATATTACGACATTCGGTAGTGAAGACAAAGATGAAGACCTGAAATCCTGATGCTGAGATATCTTATAGATTGCGATGCACATATACCCTTTGCTCTAAAGAATAATTCTCATTAACGAAAGTAGCCGATGACGTAATTAGTATTAGAGTCGTCCACTTCGAGATCCTCAACATCGGAAGCTTTACTTTTATAATTCGATTCACTTCAAACCAGGCTTAATCCTACCACCACCCTTTCCCACCAAGTCCTCCTCTTTTCAATAACTTTCTGATCATCCCATGGATACGTACACTGTAACTACCACCTTCGGCTCTCAGGGGGTTTGAATTCATACATTCACACCATTTCACCCGATCTCCGCATAGCATCTATTGGACTAGAACGACTTTGAATCTCACAACTGAACACCATTTCATCAGACCGTCGGATCACCAACCTAAACCACATTTTCGTTCTCTACCGGCAAGATGTTACATAAAATGAACGGGGAGCTTCATCCTTCAAAATCTTAACAGTGGATTTTATTCACATCTCCCAACCTTCCAATGCATCATACAAAATCCATATCATTCATCAAATCATCACAAAAGTCACACTCTGTTACTCTTGACGTAACAACTTCTTCTTCTATAACATTCATAAATCAGAACCACCAAAATTAGCATGTTTCTACAGTATCTACGATATTGAAGTTATTCCCAGATCTCCACTTCATTCCGTTAACAGTGCCATTAACCACGACACCTAGTATCATTGCTCAGCCCGCCTACTACCTGTCTCCTCCAGCGTCCCTTCAACCTCTCCTCTGTATTTCCTCAGCGCCCAAAGCATACTCACACACACAAATGCATATCAAGTCCCCTCTCCACACATGGCCCTCCACCTACCCCTCTCCCACTATCCAACCCATCCCCAAGCCCCCTCCCAACTCCCAACTCCCAAACTCTCCAACTCTCGATCTGATCCATCATCCGCTCCTCAAATCTACTCACCACATAAACACCACTCCGTTTCTAAAATTCCCTCCCCCAACCCTCGCCAATCATCCGCTCTTGTTAGATAACTACCAGTAGCCAACTTACTCATACACACACATCCACACAAACATAAATACCTGCTACCAACACCCACAACAGCCCAAACCAACATCCATCCACCCTCACCGAAATCCAAATCCACATCCAAACATCGACAGAACAGCACAGCACAACCCATCCATCACCCCTCAAGCCAGCAAACAAACACACGCACACACGCCAGATTTTAATTTCTTCAATTTCTCAAATTTCTCAAATATACCTACCGCGCGTAGATAAAAAGCGAATGTATATCCCGTCTCCAATCCAATCCAATCCAATCCAATCCAATCCAATCCAATCCAATCCAATCCAATCCAATCCAATCCAATCCAATCCAATCCAATCCAATCCAATCCAATCCAATCCAATCAAAAACACAACAGAATCCCATCCTCTCCATCTCCCCACTCCCCAAACCCCCATCTCACCCCTCCAAACCCATTCCAAATATTCAAAGATAACCTACCCACCTATCCAAGGTCCAAGTAAAACTCTACCTACCTACGAATATCACAACACATCACGTCACAACATATCACATCATATCACAATACAACACAACATATCAACTCACATCTCCATACAAACAAACAGATACCAACTCCCCACACATATTTGCGAGAGAACCAACCACCTTTCACAATCATCATATCCTCAGTCTAACTTTAACTCTCACCTACCTCAACGCCCGGAAGTAAAAGCTGGAGGCAGGATCAATTAGCATCACGTCACACGTGAGGAGGAGGTACGATTCGTACGATACCACACGAAAACCAAGAGACATTTGCTCATTAGGCATCTCACATACTTCGCTTTCCTATACCCGTGGTGTGGTCGTGGAAATGTCAATGTGAAGATGGCTCCCACTAAACTCATGTGGCTGTACAATATGAAGGAAGCACTAATGACAAAAGATAAAGATGATATGCAACTGCTGACCATTCAGTAGTTGAATAAATATTAATTCATAATTTACATAAAACATACCCCATCCTCAAGCCAGAACACCATGCTCCTATGTTTTGAAATCCTTCCGTTAAGATATATGCATACAATTTGAGAAGAAGATCTATCTCCACGAGTCAATCGCCTTCATACTTGCGTGGAGTTCCTCCTCGTGCCCAGTTCAAACCGTTAACCTATTTTTTATCTCCAAATTTCTGGTGAATCGCCCGAATTTGCTCCTCCACATTTACATTCTGCATCAATTCATATCGTGCTCTGTCTGTCTTATCCACCGGAGTACCATCATAACCATTCGCCGCCTTCTTTCTTCGAGCGGCTTCTTCTTCTGTTATATGTTGCCCTGTAGCCCCATCAAAAATATCACTTCTTTGACTCGCTAAGCGTTTGAGATTATTAGCCACATCTTGCGTGGAAAGATTAGTTGTTGCATAGCGGCTCTCTGCCTTCGCTTTCTGTTCCTTCCACCTAGGATCAAGCAATTCAACTGTAGAAGTGTTAGTTGGTTAAGTTCATCAAAGATTTAGACTGTTAACTTACTTCTCATATGAGCATCGAGCTCATCATAAGGAATTTGTTGATTACAATTGGGGCAAAGTGCCATTTGTTGCTTGTTGGCGGCTCTTGCGGCAGCTCTGGGGACGTAGTTCTCCTTGATTCTCATAGGTGCAGCTCCGCCCTTAGCTTCAGCCTGTGCCTGTTGAGCACGAGCTCTAGCCTCAGTTCGCTCTCGTATCCTCTGTTCTTCTTCGTCCTCATCTTCGTTGTTCTTTTGGCGTGGGTCTTGGTATTGTGGCTGATATGATGGTTGCGGCACTGGTGGTGGTGCCATGTTATATTGTGGTTGGGCATATGACCCATCGAATATTCCATCGTCTCCAGGCATAGCTTCTTCAATGCGCATATGTGTCGAGTTAATCGACATTTGTGCCTTTTGGTCCAGAGAGGCAAATTGAAGTTCGTTCAGTGACGTTGGTGGAGGTAAGTTCGTCTGATCATCAGCCTCTGTGAAGATAACAGTCTCTACCACAACAAAGTCGTGCCAATCGATTTGCGCATATGTAAGCTTCTCCTTCTCAACCGCTTCCTCCTTCTTCTGCTTTTGTTCGTCTTGGAATTTGAACCACTCTGCCCTTTGCTTGGCTCTACCCAAGACGTGAAATTTATCGTCTACATTGGCCTGCAACTCTTTGATTCTCTCCTGCTGCATCTTCCCACCTTCTCCATCCATACCACTCGCTCGCAACAACATAGTATATTGATCAATCAATCGCTGGAAGAAGTTGTGTAAACTGTGATTGGGTCTCAAGAAGTCGAACTGATAATTCCCCGTTTCCCTCTGAGATAGTGTCGTCATAAACTGTCTACCATTCTTCGCAACGAATAATGCGGTCAACCGGACTACCTCGAGATCCTGTGCACTGATATTGGGCATGCGCGCCGAGAAATGGAACTCTGGTGGTTCAGGCGGCCCTTTAGGTTTCTCTGCTTCCGCCGGCGCCTCTCCAGCTCTACCTGCCGCAACTGCAGTTCCCCTGCCTTCTTTGATCTCGCTGAGTCGCCATAAGTAGTATGCATTGTATGCATCATTAGTGCTAAGGAAGGAGAATTTGGGATTGGTTCTTTCTTTTTCTCTGATACGATCTAAGATTATTAGCTTGATGCTGGTACAATGTATTGAGCTCAAGAATGCCTCACCTTCGAAATTGATTCCATTTCGCGCAACATAGCCTGCTGTCTTCTCGAGAATAGCTAATGTGATGTTAGATAATACTCCCTCGATGTTGATTTGATCGCGTACCTTTGATTTCTTTTGGTGGTAATACAACGCCTTGGGGTGGTTTTATTTCATCAAGAGCTGCAACGGCATCTGCAACTGAAGGAGCCATGTTGGGTACTGTTACTAGTTGAAGTTGAATTGGCCTTTCTTTCTGGTGTTGTTATTTCAATTGGTGGTTGACTTCTGCATTTACAAGAAATGCGACCAGCAACAGCCTTACACAAGAAATCTAGCCCTGCAACAGCCCTGAGCAAAAGCTTGAGGCGGAACTTAGTTTGACCGATATCCGAAGTTTATCCTGGTGCCACATATTCTTACCCCACGATTGGCTGACCCCCTCAGAGGAGATGGAAGACTTGGGATTATGAAAAGGACTTCCTGATTCCTACAAAGTGGATTAGAATGCGTGCATACTCTGGAGGATCTCGAAGATATAGATTCTCGAATTTTTGATCTGTGAAATGACAACTGAATGAGAAGCCATTTCTTCGACCTCTACACCCAGGGGCTTTCTCCTTGCCCACTCATCTACAGTCTACTATATCATCCACTGTCTCTGAGATATCCATGCTACTTACTCACTTCAATCCACAGTCGATCACCGATAATCACAATTAAAACAGAATTAGCCCAATATATATACGCAAGAAGCATATCACATGTCTTCTATTATTTCATAGCATTAATCTTATCTTATTCCATAGCACCCATAGCAATTGTGGCATCATACATGCCAACAACCCAGCTATTGCTATTATCCCCCTCGTAATCCATTATTATGTACAATAAGCAAGGTATGGTATATACCGCCGATTAACCCATGCAAAATAACGCCGTTGCATTTCAACCGGCAATGAGCCATTAGAACCATGTAGAATTCCATCCCTCCTTTTGAAAACTCCTAGAAAAGATTCAAACCCAACAATTATTAATCATAACATGATACTGAATGCCAGCTCGAATAGGGCTATTAAAAAGCTCCCGGTATGGCAATTGAAAGCTTTTCAGTGTCGTCACTGCTTTCAATAGACTCCTCATTTTGTACTGAGGACTCGGATCGTGGCGTTTCCTCTGTGACATTGTGAACTTCTTCCGTGTCCCCTTTTTGTTCTGGTTCAATGTGTTCCACTTCATTTGCATCGTGAAAATCTTCTGCATTGCTGATCTGTTCCGTTTCTTGATCTTCGTCTTCCACTTCAGTGTCGGGAATTACACCGCTAGAATTATCTGCAAGTTCCAATTCCGATTGTTGTTTGGGTACCGTCGCCAGTGCTGTTTCTTTCTCTGCGTCCCGATTCTCCAACTCAGAATCGACGATTGGAACATCAGTCCTCTCTACTTCCTCCCGAAGGGGACTAGGGAGGATTTCTCCATCACCTGACCTTCTCCCAAAACCGGTTATGTTGACGGGTGAGAGTTCACTAGTTGGTGTAATGTCCCTGGGTATGATTTCGATAGACCTGTCCGATTCTCCGCTGATCTTGCGTCTTCTTTCATCATCACTTAAGCGAGGACTCCTAGATGATTCTTGATTCCAAGACTGTACGCATGGAATGACCCCGCCGCCAACACGACACCAGAACATCCGTTCTCTTAACCTAACACTCTCTTCCCAGGCGGCCTTATCAGACTCCTCATCTTCACCTCTCCAGTGACCTTCTTTAAGGACACGTAAAAAACTCATAAACCCGCAAGTCGACCGGACGCGTCCTAGACAATATAGGCATAGGGGGTACCTTTGCGCATTATCGCTCTCGCTCGTTCGGAATCTATGGCTTCTAATATGTTCTGGGCCTTTTCGGGCTTCGCCACAAAGAGAGCAGGGGAATGCATATGGTTTTATAGACGAAGGCATTGGTTCAACAACAAGCGACCCTTCACATACTGCATTTAGGACTGTCCTTCGAGCGAGCCAAGAAAGTCCTGGGGCGTTATCGAGACGAAGCGTGGGCTCGATATCCTCGGCGAGAGCTCGTTTATAGAATTTCGTTTCTTTTAATGGGGTCAAAGAGTTGGGCCCATCTCTTGAGCTCGAGCTCACATTAGAGGCTGGTGTAGTCGGCGTTGCGGGGGAAGATCCAAATGTGCCCAATGTTGAGATAGAAGATGTTGACCCGTTGTTTGGCGCATGTGTTGAACCAGTGTATGCTCCTAGTCCTAACCCTAAACCGATTCCTCCATAAGATCCACTGGAAACGCGACTCCCAACAACGTTCCTTGACATACGCAGTAGAGAGATAAAATCATCGTAAGCTCCAAGGTCAGTTCGAAGGACTGGTTGAATCAGGTGCAAGAAGCTCGTAGGATATGAAGGCGAGACCGGTTCCGGGATTGACGAAGATTGTATCGAGTCCGAGTTGTGCATATTCTCGTCTTTGCGATCGGTTTGATGTAAAGCTGGAGTTGACGGTGCGGTATTATTTGTTTGGTTTGTTTGGTCATCCTGTTCCTCGGTCATGTGTTCCATAACTTGCTTCAATTCTGCCAACTGTTCTTGTTGCGACTTTAGTAAATTCTCTGCCTCCTGAAGTTGTGCTTTTAGTTGATCGTTCTTCTTGTTCACGATATCATATTCCTTCTGTGCTTGCTCTCGAGCCGTGATAACCATCTGTCAATGTCAGCTTTTATTGCATTGAAAGACTATACTCAGACCAACCTTGTTCGCCTCCTCAAATAAAGCCGTGGTGAGATTCTCCAATTCTAGCTCGATACTCCTCTTTTCTTTCTCAACTTCCCTTCTTTTATTCCTCTCTTCCGTCAAGGTCGCATTGAGTTTGGCCTTCTCAGCTTCGGCTATTGAGCTCCGTATCAGTACTCCATTCGATACTAGCGCTTTGTGCTCTCGATTTTCCCGTTCAAGCTGCTTGTTTCGTTCTCTCGAAGCCTCCAGTTCATGTCGAGTGGCGCTTAAACTATCGTCGAGAGTCGTCTGTTGATTTATGGCGTTTATAAGCTTTTTGCTCAGTGTTGTAACCTCCTCGCTCAAATGTGCATTGCTCAGCTCTTGATACTGTTCTTGGTTTGAGACGGGGCCGTCAATTGTAGGTGACGAGACTCTACTCCGAGGGTCCGGAAGAGTACTCAAATTCTCCTCTTGATCCATATAGGGAGCGAAAGCCCTCGGCGTGGGTATTCCAGGGGCGTTTGATACTGTAGCCATCGTAGGCAGGGTAGTAGTCGATATTGATTTCGTTATCGTCTTTGTAGAAGACCCTGAGAGAGAGCGTATATGTTGTAAGGACCGACGATGATTATATTGAGTCCATCCAGCAATGTGGATGAAGCTGTATGATTGGTTGCATTGTTAGTTGTTGTTGTTGAACATGATTTAATTATTTTTTTCCTTTTGACCACATGAATGAATGAGATTGATCAAATCATTATGATAAAGTCAAGTCAAGTATAATATAATATAACATAACAAACTTACTCGGACATTTGATTCTTTGAAGAGGCTTAGAGCCTCGTTCCCGATTAGAAAGCCACCAAAGAAATGCGAGTTGACGATTATTACGTAGTCGATTAGCGGCAGTAAATGTGCCTAACGACCTAAACCAGGAAGGTACTTTGAGATCTCGGAATCTTTACTGATGCTTTTACGTATTGAACCGATGAAAGGTGGGAAAGACACAGCAAGAAAGGGATTGAAGTTTGATAAAGTACAAGAGGAATAAAAATTGGAAGAAATGTATGTAAGGAGAGGAAAGAAAGAAGAAGGAAGAGTCGAAGAAGAAGAAGAATAAGAGAGAGAAAAAAGAAAAGGAAAAAAGTAAGTACTTAGTTTGAATAAATTATTATTACTCCTTTGAAGGGTTAGGAGAGAGGGAGGAAGAGAGAGAGAGAGAGAGAGAGAGAGAGAGAGAGAGAGAGAGAGAGAGAGGGAGTGTGTGTGTGTGTGTGTTGAGAGAGAGTAGAGAGAAAATCAAAAGATGGGAGAAAGTATAGCAAGTGCTCGTACAGTATTATCGAGGTATCTTTGATCGGGTTATGAATTTCCGATACTCCAGATAATAATAAATCTCTTTAGATTTGCCAGGAAAGGAAAACGGGAAAACGACGCGGCGTCATACGTCTAAACGCTGGATGATACTACCCAATCAAAATCCCACTCGGATGGGGGATACAAGAAAAGGGAAAAGTCAAAAAATCAAAAGGAAAAGCAAGGAAAAGGGAAAAGGGACAAGAGGAAAATGAGAGAAAAGAGGAAGAGAGGAACAGAGAATGAATTACTCCCTAAGTAAAAAGAGACAATTTGTAGCATCTTTTAAAACATAATAATGTCATGTAATGTTCAAAGTATACGATTATACGATGATACGATTATGCGAGTATAATATGTACGAAGTATACCTAGTAGGCATATATAGATGTAGAGGTTGTAATAACTATCATTCATTATTACCTATACCTAGTATTTTATTATTAGGATTAGGGGGTGACAAAGAGAAGCATTCATTTCCTCACATTCGATTTAAAAGGGTCTGTCTTTGTGTCTTGGTATCAAATCTATCAATCAATCCATCAATCAATCCATCAATCAATCCATCAATCAATCCATCAATCAATCCATCAATCAATCCATCAATCAATCCATCAATCAATCCATCATCATTCTAATCCAGGGTTCTCTAACGAATTGTATGCATATTGGACTTATCCAGACTTACTTCATGCATGCAAGTGGTTGGTCTACATCGTACCTCGTACATCGTACTCCGCACTTCTTCTTAGGGGTTATTGAAGAGGGGGAGAGTTGGTACGGAGTAGAGATACCACTATCCTATCTGAGCCTTTCTATCTACTACTCTGATTCTACTGGTACTGAATCAATATCGTAGAATAAAATAATCAATTCAGTGATATCAATACCAGATAGGTATCAATATTAATATCACTCATCACTTCCCACCTGCAGTATCTCAACAATTACAATCAATAAATCAATCAATAAATCAATCATCATCCTTGATACTCCCAAGACTCTTATTAACTTTCACAAATCACATTTCCATTCGATACTAGGTATGCTTTGCTTACTCGTGTCAGCTCATCACTTCTCACCCACCACTCCTCACCCATCACTTATCAGATGAAGAAGGAAGGCTCGGAAGGCACGAGGTCCCTAGTATCCGCTATCTCCCATCATCTCAGGGATTAGCTTCATGAGGAAGGTCTGAACTCACAAGTCCCGAAGAGTTTGGTCTCGCATTTCTTCTTTTGCCGGCTTCTCCTCAGTCGACTCCGTAAGTCATAGCACCATCTTGCTTTCTGATAGGCATCCTTCCATTCAAGAGTCAAGTCTGCAATGGGCAAGTCGAGATTCTCGAGGACGTGATCTTGGGCCTCGATCCTCATGACCACTATCTTTGCTAAAACCATTCAATATCTCGAGTAGGTAACTCTCCCGTATTTATTATGTGATAGTATATTCAAATACGCGCCGCCCTTCAGTTTCTTACCGTGGCTATGCTGCACCCCCCCCGCAAATTCGTGCACCAAGGTTAAGTTGGACGCGGCTGGATCTCTCGCCTCCTCGGCCAGTACCGATCTTTTCTGGTGCATTGTCACGACAGGTGCCAGATGTAGATCATCCACCACGGATGTGTGGAGTACAGTTTTTATAGATCATGCCCAAATCCAAGGAATTATATTATCGTTAGTTGATATCTACTGCCGGTATGCTTTCGGCATTGCTAAGCTCACTCATTTCACATCATCCATTTGACGTACAGGAATAAGAAGAGTGGTTGTATAATTTTCATTCTCTCAACACCCATACCAGGGTAAGAAACATCATGTAAACAGCACCGATCTAGACTCAACATTGTGAGACAAGTATAGGGAGCTCATCGTAGATCTGCTTAATGGCATGCATTATAGAAAGAAAAAATGTGCTAGGGGGAATTGTAATGTATTCAAATGAGGCTGCATCCAGAACATAGGAGACTCTGGATGATCAAACGCCAAACTCGACTGGGGTTGTTCTTGGAACACTTGTGAGGGCTTCGGAGAAGTGGGAAATCTTCTACCTAAGCGTGACAAATACGGCTCCGGAGGAATAGAGAGATAGGGGAGAATAGAAAGGAAAAAATCGTTGTTCACTGAAATTTGCTGCAAACACATGGCCATGCGTGTCATCTGATGCTGTTGGAAACCTTTCAGATTCTTGAAGGTATTGCACATATTTAATATTTATCATGCAACGCTAGAAGCCTCTGACCCTCATTGTATCATATCCCGCAAAGAAACCCAAACAAACCCCAGCCCAGAGCTTAGATAGTCGTCTCGTATGCGATTGGTACAATTGTCTCTGGTACGTTATCCTTCATCGAAATGGTTCTGGCCTCTCTTGGCATGGCTGGCTGTCTCTTCAAGTGAACGTGGGTACCATCGGCCTTCGATTGCTTCTTCAACTCGGCGTTCTTCTTGACTCTGCGGACGAACTCCTCTCTTGAGCGGGAGAGGGAGACGTGCTCGATTCTGAGGTTGACACGCTTCTCGATGTATCTGTGCTTGACCTTCTTGTAGATGATAACACCAACGGCGCTCTTGGTGACGTTGTAAACGACACCAGTCTTTCCGTGGTAAACCTTGTGGGGCATACTGAACAGAGGTCAGTACACGAATTCGTCCTCCAAAATATTCCACCGTCTTCTCGCAAATCTCCATGTCGATTCTGCCTGGGAAATTTATGTATGATTGATGATTTTGACTGACCCCTTTTGAACGGCACCGTTTGCCTTGATATCAACAATGTCACCGACCCTGAAAATAAATTAGTATTTTGCGACATCTCGAAATTGCGAAGAAATGGATTTCTACATACTTGTATTGTCTCAAGTAGGTCGACAACTTGATCATACCATGATCCTTGAAGTTTCTGCTGAATGCATACTGAAAATGTGTTAGTTACTGCTATCGAATCCAAAATTGCCGTCGTCGCATCGATTTCAAAGCTGTGGCCGTAGCAATCCTCCCCAAATGGTGCAATTAAACGGGAAATAATGAACTCACCCGAGTACCGGCGCGGAGACCTGCTGGGTGACCCATTTTGTCGATGTAGGATGGGTATTCGGAGGGAGGTCGAAGTTATTCAGAAATTGTCGATAATCTTTCTATTGCAAATTGACGCTGGTATCGGCAACTCCAACTTTCAAAAATCTTCGCTTAATTTTGCGCCTTCCCACTTTGGTGGTAGCTCGGGTCAAATGCCCTAATTGAATTTCCGGAACATCGAAAAATTACAGGAACAAAATTTACAGCCAGCGATCAACAACCTCACGACGACAATCGACTCGACGTATCAGCAAAAATGGCCCCGTACGTATTGTCCATATTCTGAAGCTTCAGATTTACTTCGATTGATCTCGAAATTATCTGGAGTTTTTTTTTTGGCTTTGAATCGAATTGCTTTGGGAATATTACCTCGATCGCAACAAGGCCAAATTGAGTTCGTTTGCTAATATTTTTAAACAGACGTTCATACTCCAAGACCTACAAGGTCCCACGTCGTCCGTAAGTTCCCTATCAATTACCTGTTTGCGCTTCGTAATTCATGCTGACAACTTTATAGCTTCGAGAGTGCTCGTTTGTAAGTGGACCACTGTTCTAGAGCTTGCTCTGTTCATGTCACTGATTTTTCCCTAGGGACTCCGAATTGAAGATTGTCGGAGAGTATGGTCTCCGCAACAAGCGTGAGGTCTGGCGTGTCCAGTTGACTCTCTCCAAGATTCGTCGTGCTGCCCGGTATGTAAAGTTCTTCAATTCGAGAACTTTTCAATGTGCTAACGTATTTAATTTAGTCAATTGCTCACCCTTGACGAGAAGGACCCAAAGAGACTTTTCGAAGGTAACGCCCTCATTCGTCGTCTTGTCCGTGTCGGTGTCCTCGACGAGTCCCGCATGAAGCTCGATTACGTTTTGGCCTTGAAGATTGAGGATTTCATGGAGCGTCGTCTTCAAACCTGTGTCTACAAGCTCGGTCTTGCCAAGTCCATCCATCACGCTCGTGTCCTCATCCGCCAAAGACACATCCGTGTTGGTAAGCAAATTGTCAACGTTCCATCCTTCGTTGTCCGTCTCGACTCCCAAAAGCACATCGACTTCGCATTGAGCTCGCCATTCGGAGGTGGACGCCCAGGTCGTGTCCGCAGAAAGAAGGCCAAGGCTTCCGAGAAGAAGGATGATGATGCCGAGGAAGAGGATGAGGAATAGAGGAACATTTCGATACCAAAATCTTTCCTATCTACATCATGAGGGTTACACTTTAGCAGGGGTTAGGGCCGGTTACATATGTAAAGCAGACATCTTAGCGTCGAGCTACAAAATAAAAGCCGTATTCCATGATGAATTATTAATGATCACTTTTTTTAATGACTTTATTGTTCCAAGAATATACCATTCTACGAATAATTTGTGATTTTTTCAAAGATCCAATATTGGAATACGTTCAACAATATTATACATAAGCTAACCCAAGTACCAAAAGCTATCTCTATTTTGATATTATTCCCTTAAATTGTTATGGGAAAGTGAAAGTGGCTTGAGATTAAACATCCAGTAATGATTTTAATGTTCAATTAAAATGTCTAATGGTTTATTATTGAATCGGCTCGTCATACTAATTCGTCTTTCCCTATGAAAGCATTCATTGGATCGTCGGCTGCTATACGCTTCTTCTTCCATGCATCCATATCCTCCTCAGAAACACCGGAGTGCATCTCTTCCGCGGTGCGTTTCTTCGTCTGTTGTGTGATAGCGGAAGGCTTTTCCACCTCACTCTTTGCTGGTTCGGCCTCTTCTGTGTCCTCATCCATTAGGATACCTCCTATTCGAGCACGCTCTGCATCTTGAAAAGCACTTTTACCTGCTTCTCCGACACAGTAACTGTTCTTGACCAGCGAATGACAACAAGAATAACCCCATTTGAAGTTAGACCACCAACTTCCCCACACAGATGTGTGATTGTTGGGGAAAATGTCCTCAGGATATTTAGACTTCGCAGAGGCCTTTGGTGCTCCCTTGATTCTACCAGTCTCATCATATTCCACATATTTCTCAGACTCCATAACGGCTGCATCCCTAAGCTTTGCAGCCATAGGATTGCTGTCTCCACCATATTTCTCCAAAAGCATTTTCTTATGCGCCTGTCGTTTGGCCTCGGCCTCTTCCTTCTCCTTTCTTCTATAGTACTCGCCAGATGTAGGGTTGGCTTGTAAATGTTGCTTTGTGTCACCAGCCTTTTCCTGAGACTCCCAGGCGTACTTCTGTGCCTTTTCAAACTCGGCGGCATCCCCAGAAGCTTTCAAAAATCCTTCTTCCGCAACCAGCGCCGCAGCCGTATCAGCAGTCGCTCCACTGTCCACCATAGATCTAGTCTTTGGGTCGTACTTCGCCGAGTCTAGGTCCAAATTCAATAGATATTTTGCCGTGTCCTCGCGTATTCTCAGCTGCCTTGTCGATGTACTTTGATGTCTGCCCATATCTGATTCCTCGGCGTATTTTGCGCCATCATCATCGCCATCCTCATCAGCTTCTTCTCCATCTTTGCTTTGACCACTCTGTAATTGCTTCTTCAGTTCTTCTAGCTGCGCATATTCATCCGTGACGGCCTTGTACTCCTTCGCATCGTATCCATTCCATCGATCTCTCTTCGCATCCCATCCCAAATCAACGTCCTGTATAACTTCATCTGCCTGTATATCCTTTCCGGTCCATTTGGCGCCTTTCGCTCTAGGTCTGTTCAAGCAATCCTTCGCCTTGTGTGTCATTGCTCCGCAATTTTCGCATGCGCCTTTCCGAAATTTGGTGGCTGCAGGACCCAGTTTCTTTCCACGATCATACCATTTTGACTGATCTAATTGGGCTTTTTGAAGACGCTGATGCTCGAGGTAATCGTTATTATCATCGTCGCCGATATAAAATGGCTTCTTTGCAATAAAAGCTGGGATATACTCGTTCTGGTCCTTGTTTGCTGCAGATTGTTCAGGCTTTCGAGGTTGTGTACCTGCGGGAGGCATTTTGGAGGTTTGGCTATATCAAAAAAAAGATTGTATCAGTTCTTGATATTTCAGTAAAAGTACGTATAAAAGTCGATAGAATGGTCGAAACTGTATATCAAGGAGATCAAGTAGCAAACAATAATTTAGTTCTGGACTAAAGATAATAGGTAGGTGGATGTAGGAAAGAGAGGTGGATTTAGAAAAGACAGGATGTGGATCGATTGATAAACTCCATTGGGTAGCGGCGATAAGGTATGCTCTGTCAGCACTTCTAGATCCAAGTCTTAGTCCCGTGACTTGGCGTAGCCTTTGGTTCGCGTTCGTGTTTGCGCCACTCAGATGTGGTATGAGAAAGAGAATGAAAATAAAACAGGAACGGCACTTCCTACGGTCTTTCCCTTTTGTATTTGAAGGTATAGGAAGAAATGCGAAGTCATGAAAACTGACAAGATCGACTCTCGCTGGGTGCCTCCATCCTAACACGTCCAATTGCCATGGACCTCTTTCGAGTACGTCTCAATTGCATTGATCATTATCAAGCTACACCTTCTCAATTTGATCCTCAATTAAAACGAAACATCGAACCTTCCGATATTCACAAAGAGCCAAAAGTACCTGTCATTAGAGTTTTCGGCTCGACGGAGACAGGTCAGAAGGTCTGCGCACATATCCATGGAGCATTTCCTTATTTATATATTGAGTATGAAGGCTCGCTCGATCCCGACGAAGGTTTGTCTTTTGCTTAATTTCGATTGTTGTTTTGATGTCTGATAAATTTGTAGTTGGAAGTTATATCCACAGACTTCATCTTTCAATCGATTATGCCCTGGCTGTAAGCTATCGTCGCAATGCATATGATGGAAATGCCAAATTTGTCGCACGTATTACCTTGGTAAAGGCGGTTCCATTCTATGGCTTCCATGTTGGATACCGCTTCTATCTTAAGATCTACATGTTGAATCCCATGGTAATGACGCGTCTCGCGGATATTTTGCGTCAGGGTACTGTTATGAAGCGAGTATTTCAACCATATGAAGCCCATCTTCAATTTCTCCTTCAGTGGATGGCGGACTACAATCTGTATGGATGTGGATATATCGATTCTAGTAAGGCTACATTTCGAGGTCCAGTGCCTCTATACAATGAAATTTCCTCATCAATGCACCTTTGGCATGACCGCTCAATACCTGATCATCTCATTACGAATGACGTGTATCTCCCTAGGGTCAGCCATTGTCATTGGAAGTTGATATCTGTGTCCAAAATATTCTCAACAGGAGGGATGTCAAGCCACGTCTGCTCCACCATGACTTCGCTCAAAACCTTGGCCCTTTTGCCCCCGACGAGAAGTTAGTACAAAGTATGGCATGTCTTTGGAAAGATGAAACCCGTCGTCGAAAGTCTAGAATTCCAAATGCAACGGCTGGTAGTAGCCCATTCCCAGCCGAGGTAATGTTTTCTATGTCAGCTGACCCTCGACATTCCCAGAGTGGTGGATGGATGCACGAAGGCGAACACAGGGAAATGGTCAAAGGGCTCATCCAAGAAGAACGGAACAGAGGCGACCCTTCAAAACCAACTTTCAAAACTTTCGTCATGCCAAAGCCCTTCGAGAGTTCCGTGAAAACTAGCCTTGAGTCGGTGGAAGACTTGTACCCGGAGAATCTTCGTCTCGCTTTCCAATCAACCTATGAGGAACAGGGCCATCACAATTTGCATGGCCACCGTGGAGAAAGAGAGGTGGACGAAACCCTTGTTGAACTTGCAATCAGCCAAGAAGAAAATGAAGATGATTACGATTCTGATGAGGATATCATGAGAGAGATTGAGCTTTCGCAGAAACGGAAAGGAGATTATATTGACGAAGCTCTACCCAAATCTGAAACAGATACGATATTTGGTGACGAAGCTTATTTTAATGCTGCTTCATTAGATGAATTGCAAGCAATTTATCCTAAAGAAGGCAAAGCTCATCACAATTTTGTACACTCCCAAACAGCCTCTGTCGTAGCAGATGCTCTGGCCTCCAAATCTGCACAAATCAGTCACTTGGCTAGTCAGATTGATTCTGATCATCATAGTGGTCACAACCACAGGGGCCAAGACATTAATTGCGAATGGAGTAGATCACAATTAGAACAAGAATTTCCGGACGCGAAACGGCGGAAGACCAGTACAATGGCTCAGCCCTCAATACAATTATCTCCTACGTCATCTCTAGGACCAAGAAATGAACACATTGAGCAACGAACCAGCTTGGAGCTTAGGCCGCCTGATGCTAAGCTTTCCTCTCAAGACTCGCTCAATTTCCCTGTAACAAAAGATTCGCACGATTCGAGCACAATGCTGAAACTCAGTCAGCGCTTTGGGCATGTAGCTACTCCTACAGCAAAGAAGCACGTTTCTTTTCTTCCCAATCCAGCATCGACTACTGATACTTTCGTTAAGACTGTAAGCATGTCAAACTCCACAGCGATACTAAGCCCGATTCGAAAGCTAGATTCCTCTGTTCAGGATAAATTGTTCAAAGGAATCACAGACAGCTTTGGTGCCAGCAACGATTCATTACTGCTGGCACATCATCAATCTCCTCCATCAGCCCATTTTGTTTCTACAACGTTGTCAAGTTTCAATCTACCCTTAATTCTCCATCAAGATGCCTTTTACAGTAGGGAAGAAGATGTTCCCGAGCGCCCTAGAGAATGGGCGGGTAGAGAATTCAAACTTGGAAGCACGAGTGTGCCATTCCTACCCGATTTTGATCCGTCTGCAACCTCAGACGCAACTTTTGGGCTTGGGCCTGTTGTTCTCCCCGATAGAATCAAAGACGAAGAAGTCTACAATCATCGACGCCGCGAGTGCAGTCTTCGTGCTTGGACTTTTACAGAAATGCCGCCTAGTTATGCGAAAGTACACATTTGGGCTCGCAATCAGGAGTCTAAGATAAATCATAAATCCGAAAATCCGAAGAGGGGTGCACCTTCCAAGTCGGTTAGCAAGCACCGAAAGGAGGCGAAGCTTTCACAAATCGACGGCCCAACTCAAAAGAACCCGCATGACTTCAAATATACACAAAACGGAAAGACTATTAACATTCAACGTGAGGCTCAATACATGAGTGTCATGAGTTTAGAGGTTCATGTTAATACGCGAGGGGGTTTTGCGCCCAATCCTGAAGAGGATGAGATTCAGTGTATTTTCTTCTGCTTTCAAGCGGACGATAACGGCACTGGAGGTAGCCCATCAAAGTCGGGAATTGCGGTCTTGTCCGTTGATGAAGATAACATTGCCGAGAGGATATCTAATCAAGTCCCCTTCGAGGTGCATGTAGAGACCTCTGAACTCGATCTGCTCGTCCGTATGGTCGAAATTGTGCGGGAGTACGATCCAGACATCCTGACTGGCTTCGAGGTCCACAGTGGATCTTGGGGGTATCTTATTGAACGGGCAAGAACTAAATACGACTATGACCTTTGTGATGAGTTCTCACGTATGAAAAATCAATCCCATGGCCGATTTGGCAAGGATAATGACAAATGGGGATTCGACAATACATCCACAATTCGTGTTACAGGCCGACATATGATCAATATCTGGAGAGTCATGAGAGCCGAGCTTAACCTCCTTCAGTATACATTGGAAAATGTGGTTTTCCATCTACTCCACCGGCGGATTCCGCACTATTCATGGGCCGATCTAAGGGACTGGTATACCAACGGGACGGCCCGAGATTTGTCTAAAGTACTCGCGTACTATGTGTCCCATGTAGAACTCGATCTAGAAATACTTGAGCAGAACGAATTGATCTCGCGTACAAGCGAACAAGCACGGCTTTTGGGTGTTGATTTCTTCTCGGTTTTCTCCCGTGGTTCACAATTTAAGGTAGAATCTCTGATGTTTCGTATTGCAAAACCAGAGAACTTTATCTTGATATCTCCTAGCCGAAAACAAGTGGGTGGCCAAAATGCTTTGGAGTGTCTTCCCCTTGTCATGGAGCCTCAAAGTGCTTTTTACAGCAGTCCATTACTGGTTCTTGATTTTCAAAGTTTGTATCCGAGTGTTATGATTGCTTATAATTATTGTTATTCGACGTACCTGGGACGAGTCGTAAACTGGCGAGGTACCAATAAAATGGGTTTCACTGAATATACAAGGGAAGACAGGTTGTTGGAGTTGCTAAAAGACCACATTAATATTGCTCCCAATGGAATAATGTATGCAAAACCAAACATTCGGAAGAGTCTCCTAGCCAAAATGTTGGGGGAAATCCTTGAAACTCGGGTCATGGTGAAGAGTGGGATGAAGCTTGACAAGGAGGACAAAGCGCTACAACGATTATTGAATAATAGGCAACTTGCTCTGAAACTTATTGCCAACGTTACATACGGATATACATCTGCATCGTTTTCTGGTCGCATGCCGTGCTCAGAGATTGCTGACAGTATTGTTCAAACCGGGCGAGAAACACTTGAAAAAGCCATTGCACTTATTCACTCGGTCAAACGATGGGGTGCAGAGGTGGTTTATGGAGATACCGACAGCTTATTTGTCTACCTGAAAGGTCGCAGCAAAGATGAAGCGTTCGATATTGGGAATGAGATTGCAAAAACGGTCACCAACATGAATCCACGTCCCGTCAAGCTCAAATTCGAGAAAGTTTATCACCCCTGCGTGCTTCTAGCTAAGAAGCGATATGTGGGCTTTAAGTATGAGAGCAAGTCACAAATCGACCCTGAGTTCGATGCGAAAGGTATTGAGACCGTGCGACGTGATGGCACTCCAGCTGAGCAAAAAATCGAAGAAAAAGCTCTCAAAATACTCTTTCGCACAGCTGATCTTAGTCAAGTGAAATCCTATTTTCAAGAACAGTGCGAGAAAATTATGAAAGGCTCTGTATCTATTCAAGACTTTTGCTTTGCGAAAGAAGTCAAGCTTGGAACGTATAGTAACAAAGGACCACCACCTGCAGGAGCTCTTATTAGCACCAAAAAAATGTTGGAAGATGCACGAACAGAGCC